GAAGACATGAAGAAAATGGAATCTTTTTTTTTAAAAGCATGTTCTCTATCACTGACTATAACCCAGTATGAAGAAATCAGAACCCTCATGCCACTGGTAGAACTGTAAAATGGTTTGGAGACTAGCAATTCCCAAAGACTTAAATATAGCTACTATATGAACTAGCAGTTTCATTTTTTTTTTTTTTTGGGTCCGGTCGTGGGGCCTGAACTCTGGGCCAGGGCACTGTTCTTCAGCTCTTCAGCTCAAGTCTAGCACTCTACCACTTGAGCCACAGTGCCACTTCTGGCTTTTTCTGTTTATGTGGTACTGAGGAATCGAACTCAGGGCTTCATGCATGCTAGTCAAGCACTCTACCACTAAAGCCACATTCCCAGCCCTCATAATTTTTTTTTTTAAAGAGATGATTTGAATGATGATATCTTGCTGTGTTGCTTTGCTTGGTCTGTACTTCTGGATTCAAATGATCCTCCTGCTTCAGCTTCCTGAGTACTGACACTCTAGTGCTGGGCTTCCAGGCACATTCTACTCCATCAAGCACAACTATTAATTATAGACAAGTATACACAAAAGAACTGAAGTCTGCCTCCACAAACCTGTTGGTGGACAAACACTGTCCACCACACCTACCATTATCAGTGTACTATATGCCACTGAGTTGTGAACACACTACCACTTTAAATAGCTAATTTAATTTTTACAAAGGAAAAATCAATGTGCTGATGTTCATAGCAGATTATTCACAACAATCCAAAGTAGAAACAACTCAAAGGTCTAACTATGAATTGGTAAACAAAATATGGTACATCCACATAATGGAATGTTATTTGGCAATTTAAAGGAATACATTATTGATAGATACTATAGTAGTAATAAACTCTTAAAACATTACGCTAAGTCAAAAAAGCCAGGCACAGGAGACTGCATATTATGATTCTAGCTTTCTGAAATATCCAGAGAGTCAAATAAGGAGAAACAGAAAATGGAGGGATGGAGACCGAGAGGAATGAGCAAGCAGAGTGGTTGTGTGGTCACATGTTGGGACTGGTAGCTCTTGCAGCATGGCTGACCAACTGACTGAAGAGGAGATTGCAGAATTCAAAGAAGCTTTTTCACTATTTGACAAGGATGGTGATGGAACTATAACAACAAAGGAACTGGGAACTGAAATGAGGTCTCTTGGGCAGAATCCCACAGAAGCAGTATTACAGGACATGATTAATGAAGTAGAAGCTGATGTTAATGGCACAATTGACTTCCCTGAATTTTTGACAATGATGGCAAGAAAACTGAAAGACACTGGCAGTGAAGAAGAAATTAGAGACGCATTCTGTGTGTTTGATAAGGATAGCAATGGTTATATTAGTGCAGCAGAGCTTTGCCATGTGATGACCAACTGGGGGAGAAGTTAACAGATGAAGAAGTTGATGAAATGATCAGGGAAGCAGATATTGATGGTGAGGGTCAAGTAAACTATGAAGAGTTTGTAAAAATGACGACAGCAAAGTGAAGATATTGTACAGAATGTGTTAAATTTCTTGTATAAAATTGTTTGTCTTTTCTTTGTAACTTATCTGTAAAAGGTCTCTCCTACTGTCAAAAAAATGCATGTATAGTAATTAGGATTTCATTCCTCCATGTTATCTTCCCTTCCCTTACTGTCATTGTCCTGAAACCTTATTTTAGAAAACTGATCAAGTAATATGTTATATGTGGCTTACTTTGGATATATTTAAACCCTTCTGCACATCTAAACTTAGATGGAGTTGGTCAAATGAGGGAACATATGGGTTATGCTTTTTTAAGTAGTTTTCTTTTAGGAACTGTCAGCATGTTGTTGTTGAAGTGTGGAGTTGTAACTCCGTGTGGACTATGGAGAGATAACAATATGTACTTAAAAGTTGCACTATTGCAAAATGGGTATATTATCCAGGTACTTGTACACTATTTTTTTGTACTGCTGGTCTTATACAAAAAACATTTTCTTTCATTGTTACTTGCTTTTTAAACTTTGTCTTAGCCACTTAAAGAAAATCTGCTTATGGTACAATTTGCCTCAATCCATTCCAACTTGTATATTTGTTTTCCAATAAAAAATTACAGTTTACTGAAAAAAAAAAGAGAAAATGGTGGGATGACTACACAAATGGGCATATGGACTGTGTACAAGTGGCTTACAACTGTAATCTTTGCTACTTGGGAAGCAGAGATCTGAAGGATTATAGTTTGAGTCCCACCCAGGAAAAAATGTTTGTGAGACCTCATCTTAACAATATCTAGGTGTGGTAGAGTCTGCCTTGTATCCCAGCTATGGGGAAGCTGATTGAAAGTATTGTGGTTCCAGACAAGTCAAGCCTCCCTCTCCCCCAACCCCTGCCACTTGTGCCCCCAAAAAAAGAAAAGAGGAAAAAAGAAAAAGAGTTCATGAGACCCCATCTCAACAGAAAAAGTTATGGCATGTGCCTGTCACCCCAGCTGCTCTATGAAGTTTAAATTGGAGAAATGTTGTTTGAGCTGGCTAGTGCATAAAACAAATCATATCTCAAAAATAACCAGAGCAAAAAGGGCTGGAGGTGTGGTTCAAGCAGTATAGTATGTGCCTAACAAGCACAAATCTGAGTTTAAGTCCCAGAACTACAACCATGACAAAATAAAATGGAGGAAATGTAACTGATATTGGTGATAGTGGCACAACTGTAAATAGACTAAAGATAATTGATTGGCACATCTAAAATGGACAGTTTTTTTTGTTGTTGTTTTTGTTGGTTGTGGGGCTTGCACTCAGGGCCTGGGCACTGTCCCTGAGCTCTTTAGCTCAAGACTAGTGTTCTATTGTTTGAGCCAGAGTGCTTCTTCTGGTTTTTTGGTGGCTAACTGGAGATAAGAGTCTCATGGACTTTTCTGCCTGTGTTGTCTTTGAACCATGATCCTCAGATCTCAGCTTTCTAAGTAGCTAGGATTACAGGTGTGAGCCACCAGTGCCCAGCTAAAACTGATGGACTTTTTTTTTTATTGTGAAAATACTGTATAGAGGGGTTACAATTACATGGGCAAGATAATGAGTACATTTCTTATCAAGCATTGTAGACTGAAACTGATGGACTTTTTGTGGTAAAGTTAAACTTCAATAAAACTGCAAATATAAAAACAAGAAGAATTAAAAGAGCTCCACAGCAAGCAAACTATTTATTAATGACACATAAGTAATTTTCATAAACAAAGATAAAATAACTTAAAATTGGAAAGAAATGTAAGTTAGACTGCATGGTACTAACGATTAGATCTAAGTTTAATTGATTTAAACTATAACATCTGTCTTTGCCTTTTCATCACCCTTGGCTGATGGAGACTAAGAATTCCAGTCCAGGAGAACCTAAGTCCTATCAACAAAGGGCACTCTGCATTTATAGGACCCTGTTATTGTAGTACTAGGAAAAGGACAGTCCAAGGCTTCATTCTTCAGCTTGCAGTCATGTCATCACCATATGCTGTACACCAGATATTTATGGTCTACATCACACATGGAGCCAGTCTTATCTCAGGCAACCATGTTGTCTGCATCAATATAAGAAAAAAATGTGGTAATTGGTGCATATGGCTTAAATGTAGGTGTTCATGTACTGAATAAAGTCACACTTGGCCAGACAAAGCTTTGTTATTTGTATTAGTGTAGTGTTGTTTTTTTTAATGGAAACGAAGGCTGGCATCAGCTTCATCTTTGCATCTGATCTTGGGCAGATGGTGATGCTAAAAGATTAATACATAAGTTAGTTTCCCTTCTTTTTTTTTTTTTTGGTAGGTCGTGGGTCTTGAACTCTGGGCCTCGGAACTGTCCCTCAGCTCTTCAGCTCAAGGCTAGTGCTGCTCTACCACTTGAGTCACAGTGCCACTTCCGGTTTTCTGGTGGTTAATTGGAGATAAGAGTCTCATGGGCTTTCTTGCCCAGGCTGACTTTGAACTGTGATCCTCAGATCTCAGCCTCCTGGGTAGCTAGGATTACAGGTGTGAGCCACTGGCCCCCAGCTAGTTAGTTTCCCTTCTAACTGAAGGATAATGAGCTTAGAGTTTATGATAACAGTAGACATTTTTCAGTCGGTTTGAAATTAGAATGAGCTACTTTGTGTTTTAGTGCTATTCTGCTCCCACAAAGTTAGGTCATTGAATTAGATCATTTTTGGTCCAGTAATTTGTTAGAAAGTGCAGAATAACTATATGCTCTCCTCTGGTGCTCTAGTTCTTCCTTACAAATATTGAGAGAAGATGTAAATGCCATACAGTTCTTAGTAGTTTTGAAATGGCTAGGGGAAACTGGGATTATGATTGAGAGAGATTGGGGAGACAGCTTCAAAAAAGGTTCCTGTTAGCTTCAAATAAACAGTCTAAAATCATAGCACCTGAGGAATCTGTGTGTTGTGGTACATGCTTGTACTCACAAAGCATCTTTGAAGGTGAGGTAGAAAAGACAATGAACTCAAGGCGAGGATAGTCAACATAGAAAACTGTCTCCAAAAAAACCCTCAAAATACCAGGAATATTAAAATATTCACTAAAGCAGTCATATGAAAATTAAGAGACTATGCTCATTAATCTTTTAAGACACTGTGAAGGAAGACATGCAAACTGTTACAACATGATTGTCCTCAGGAGATGACAGTTCATGTATGGAGCACGCATGTGCCTTATATAAATGATATTGCATAAACATTTCCTAGAAAGACTAGGGATCTATTAAACCCAGGGAAGGCTAATGCAAATACCATGCTAACTTATTTAATCTTTTTGTAAAGGAGGCATTTAACCTTTCTGTAGGACAAGGTAAGTTCTTTTCTAAAGGTTAAGGGATGAACAGGCCATATACTTTAAGAGATGAACAAATTGCCACAAAATAATTTCAGAAAGCAGGAACCACACTGAAATAACAGGAATTTCATTTTATACACATAGTGTTAAGGAAAGTCTGCTAGGGATGCAAAGAGAAAGGCTCCCATTCCCCTAATTACCTTAAAGATGTGAGCTTTGAGGATATGATGTCCCAGTTCAATAGTCTGTTGTCGGTTTAGTTTTCCCTCTTGGCGGGAAAACCAGAAGGCAAGTAATGTGTGACCACTCCTGAAAAGAAAGAGTTTCAATTTAGAAATTTTAATGCCACAATTCTGCTTTGGGTGAGGCACTGTACAGGTCCAGCCAGATCTCCAATAAAATTATATATTATTCAATCAGTATCTAGGGAAAGGTTCTTGCTACTGGGTAAATAATGGGTATTGAAAAGTTCCTATCTTTTATCAGTCCTTCATCTGAGTCACATATATATTACTTCTAGTTGGCTTATAACCATCCCCCCATAGATGACATTTAATGATTTCCATTTCCTATCTCTGTCAGCAATTCTTGTTTCACCACTACTTAAATGTCAGTGCTTCTCAGGATCTCTGCATTGGTCTCTCCTATTCTGTCCTTTCACTGGATTAAGCCATTCCTTCTGAGCCTGTACCAGCATCTAGTCTTTTTATTTTTTTCTCTATCTAGACCTCTATTCCCAGCTTTAGAGTAGTATCTATCAGTCTGCTAGATTTCTCCATTTGGAAGTCCTGTAGTACCAACATGTCCAGATTGGATTGATACTTTCTTCCCCAAATGAAGTCTCTGATCACCCTCTATGGACTGCCTACCTTCCTCCAGCTGACCATAGTGGAGCACACTATTTTTTCTTTTTTAATTTAATTTTTTATTGTGAAAATATTGTACAGAAGGGTTACAATTACATGAGCAAGGTAATAGTACATTTCTTATCAAGCATTGTTGCCTCCTCCTTTGTTTCCCCTTAACATCCCTTCCCATCCCCACCCACCCCTCAAGCACACTATTTTTATGCCACTAGATTGCATATGCTTCAAGTATAGTATTTATCATACTGTCACATGCTTCTCCTCTACTAGTCTCAGTTTCCTGATGATATCTATTCTCCCATATCTCCTTGCCAACAAAGAAAGTTCTTTATTTCTGTCTCTGAATATTACCTTATCTGTCCATGATGGATGAAACTACTTCCTTTCCCTTTAAACCATAGAGTCAGCTGGACTGTGGACAAAACCAAAAGGAGGGCCAGTCTAACAGAACTACAGAAAAATAGAGCTTGAGCTCTGACTGCATAGCATTTAATTTTGGATTTTTACCCTAATTTTGGATTTCTCATGATATGAACTAAGACATTTCTATATGTTTAAAACATTTGAGGGGCTGGGAAGGTGGCTCAGTGGTAGAGCACTTGTCTTGCATGCTCAAGGCCCTGGATTCGATTCCTCAGCACCACATAAGAAAAAAGCCAGAAGTGGCACTGTGGCTCAAGTGGTAGAGTGCTAGCCTTGAGCTGAAGAGCTGAGGGACAGTGCCCAGGCCCAGAGTTCAGGCCCCATGACCGGACCCCCCCCAAAAAACAAAAAACAAACATTTGAGGGCTGGGAATGTGGCTTAGTGGTAGAGTGTTTGCCTAGCATGCATGAATCCCTGGGTTTGATTCCTCAGTACCACATAAACACAGAAGTGGCACTGTGGCTGAAGTGGTAGAGAGCTAACCTTGAGCAAAGGAAACTCAGGACAGTGCCCAGGCCCTGAGTTCAAGCCCCAGGACTGGCAAAACAACAACAACAACAAAAACATTTGAATTGGATTTTTTTTCCAGCTTAAAGCATCCTAATGATGTTTCTTTAAGTAATGTATTTCTTGAAGTGTTAATAGTATGTGCTTTTAAGTGTTAATGTATATTTGTATGGAAATATATGTTTAGGGCATGTGTTTCAATTTATGAAAGAAGTCTGTATTATTTATATTCTCCATGATGCATAACATAGTCTAATGTATGTAAAATGCTCAATAAAATATTTTAGAAGAAAAACCTTGGGCATTAAAGAAAGGACATTAGATTATCATTGTGATGTATCATCTTACCACTTATGCTCTAACTTTCAGAAACTGTGGACATTTAGAACTGTTTATTGACCACTAGTTTAGGGTCAGCATACTTCTTCATGTCATTAGTCACTCAAATATTCTACTTCTTTTGCTTGGAGTTCTTTTAGAAAACAGAAACAAAACAATCATCTCAGTTTCAAGTCAAATGAACATAGAAGTAGCAAGTGAATTTTGCTGATGATGCTTCCCTGAAAGAAGGCTTTTTTCTTATATTGAATATTGGTTTCTTAACTAGGTTTTATGCAGAGATATATATTGCAGTCTGGGAAACATTCAACTCCTTTTTTTTTTTTTTGGGTCCGGTTGTGGGGCCTGAACTCTGGGTCTGGGCGCTGTCCCTCAGCTCTTCAGCTCAAGGCTAGTGCTCTACCACTTGAGCCACAGCGCCACTTCCGGCTTTTTTCTATTTGCTTATGTGGTGCTGAGGAATCGAACCCAGGGCCTCAGGCATGCAAGGCAAGCGCTCTACCACTGAGCCACCTTCCCAGCCCCCACTCTTTTTTTTTTTAAAGCTTCAATAAAGAACCTGAATGGGGGATAGGACAGCTCTCAATACATAGGAATCAACTCAGGAGATTTCATTTCAATAAGATCTTGGAAGGAAATTCTAAACTTTGGTTTCAAAGAATTTCTGAATTGTAATGGATACTAGGTTACTCTATTACAACTGGATAAGATTAATCATGATGGAAAGGAAGTTATTTAGCTGGGAGAGTGTCCAGACAAGTGGGGCTGTATGCAGTCATCATTACCATTGGAAGGATTAAGCCAAGGATTGTTTTATACTCTCAAAGTCTTGGAGCTGCCACTGGATTGTTATGTATCTCATGGAAGCTCAGTTTTGTTGGTAGACTGTTTTAATAGAACATAGGGGTATTAAGATGATACCTAGAAGCATTTATAAAGTATCCTCTTCTCAAGGCCTCAAAATTCTACCTAGTTATTAACAGTACAATTATTACAGTCTTCTGAGTATAAAAATTATTTTAAGTGACTACTTATGGCTGTATAATTATAACTAGAGTTCCTTAATATAGGACTATGCTTTATTATGTATGCTTTGGTTAATGAATTTATGCCTATTAGGATGATTATGGTAAAAATAGCTTGTTCTCGACATAAGTTTTCATTTACACACAAAGTGACTGCTCTTTTGTTCTAACTTTACTATCAAAACTAAGGAATTCTTCTAAGATGTTTACATTTCTCCAGTATGTATCTTTACCTAGAGATGACAATGCTATTTTTGCTGTCACATCATGATGAGACATGGGAGAAAGAACAAGCAATACAGGTCCTGGTAATGCTCACCTGTAATCTCAGCACTAGAGAGCTGAGGGCAGCCTGGGTTATATAGCAAGACTCAAGTCTGTGTGTGTGTGTATATGTGTGTGTGTGCACCAGTACTGGGTTTGGACTCAAGGCCTTACACTCTCACTTAGTTTTTCTACTCAAGACTAGAGATCCTTAGGTCTCAGCTGTTATTTTAGCTCTGTGGAAAAGGTAAATTAGGCTGACCTAGACAAAAACTGAGAGCCTATTTGAAAAATAACAAAAGCCAATGCTGGGATATGGCTCAATTGGTATGGTGCTTGCTGAGTAAGGACAATGCCTTTAGTTTAAATACCAGAATTGCCCTGGGTTTGGAGCAAGGACAATGAAAAAATTTGGTTCTAATCAGCTCATTGTACTCAAAGCTTGTGGTGTTCAAGAAACAATAGCAATTTACATTGTATGCTACCATTTCCATTTGTACCTTACTTTTTTGATAAAAATGGTACCAGTTGCTAACCTAAAGTCTAAATATATTATAATATACTTGTGTATACTTGTTTCTAGCTCTGTGATCATTTGCTTACGCTAAACATAATCTTTTTTTGAATCCTCACTTACCATTCTTTTTTGTTGTGGAGTTCGATGTGAACGGCTTTTTAGTTTCAAAGACCACTGAGAGTTCCTTTACAGTTTCCTATTGTACAAACAGGGCTAATGTACAAATGCAGCTCTAAGAAGAAAAATGTACACAAATGAAAAGAGAGTAGAAAGATGAAATTCTTTCTACTTCTCCCCAAAGATTTGAGCCATAAAGCCAGTATGTTTTTGTTGCTGATGATTAGTTTCTTTTTCTTTTTGTTTTTTTAATTTTATTGTTATTATTAAGGTGTTGTACAGAAGGGTTACCATTTTGTAAGTAATGAGGAAAATATACATTTTCCTTTTGGACAATGTCACCCCTTCCTTCACTTTCCCCTTCCTGGCCCTGCCCCCATGTTACATAGTTCATTTTCCACAGAACATATTCTGAATAGCACAACTGCATTTGTTTACACTTCTTCCTTCCCTTCCTGCCCTCCAAAAAAAAAAAAACCCAAAGCAAAAACAAGTGCCACCACTACCAAAAACCCATGATTCTATGATTGTATTTTCTGGAATTTGTTTTGATAAACACTATATATATATATTTTTTGCCAGTCCTGGAGCTTGATCTCAGGGCCTGGGCACTGTCCCTAATCTTTTTTGCTCAACGCTAACACTCTACCACTTGAGCTACAGTGTCACTTCTAACCTTTTCTGTGTATATGGTACTGAGGAACTGAACCCAGGGCTTCATGTATGTAGGCAAGCACTCTACCACTAAGCCACATTCACAGCCCTGATAAACAGTATTTTAAATATTCAGAGGAGTTATACCTTAGGGTTCTTTCCCGAAGGGTTTCTCCTTTAGTCTGTGTTATTATGTCTAGTACTATTTTAGATCTAGCTTCTACATATGAGAGAAAACATGCTCTGTTTGTCAATCTGAGCTTGGCTCACCTCACTTAACATGACTTGTTTTAGGTCCATTCATTTCTGTGCAAATGACATAATCTTATTCTTTTTAATCGATGAACAAAATTCAATTTTGTTATGTACCACATTTTATTGATCTACTTATCTATTGCTGGGTTGTTTCCATAACTTGCCTAGCCTACCATCCTTTAACAGCATTTTTTTCTTCATTAAAACCCTTATCTTTAAGTAGTTACTTCAAAGGGCTTTCAATTAAGCATGTCAGTTTGTAAGTATAATGCATCTTGCACAGTGTCACCTCTTTTACAGTTCTTGTCTTCTCTCCCAACCCTACTCATCCTCTCAATTTA